ATGTGACTGTAGCGTTTATGCTTAAGGTCAGAGTGGCAGCCCCACCCGTCATCTGCCAGTCCAAGAGCAAAAGACTTTTTAGAGACATTATTTTGCACTTTCTTATGTATAAAAATTAGTAGGAACTTTTCTTTTCTTTTCTTTTCTTTTTTTTGCTTTGTTCCAGACTCCTTTGGTTTTGGTAAATGAACTGTGTATAAAAAAAAAAATATTTATGCAGTTAAAACTGTTTTTAGAAAATATTTTTAATTTCAGCAAGTTTGGTTACTTGTTGCATGACTTAACACAACTGACTTTTTGTGTCAGTATAATGTATATTTTTTGTCCTGTTATTAATTTGTAAGCCTTGGGGGTAAATGGCCATTTATTTGTACAGCAAACAGGAGTAAATTGAAGATAACTGGCTAGGACTGGAGGGGTGGATTTTTGTACTATATTGAAGAATCCAATATCTGTTTTTGGTGGTTATGTAAAAGGCCTGAAGAATTACTATCTAGTGTGCAATCTGTGATATCTGAATGTTTTATTGTATATTTGTCTCCAATGCAAAAAGGTAGAGTAACACAAATACAATACATGATTAAATGCAATAGTTCAGGTACCTTTTTTGTTTTTCATTTCAAATAAATACTATTTACCACCAGGTTTTTCTGTCCAGATCTCTTTGAAAAATTGTATAACCAGCTTTGGAAACATGGGTTTTTAAACTATTGGATAAGGAGTGTGCATCAAGAATCCTGTTTCCAGCCAAGTCAAACTCAATCCGCCCCAAAAATCAAACTCAATTGTTTATCCAGTGCAAACGAAGAAGCTAATAGAAAGCACTGAACTGTTTTGATCCGAGTTATTGCAGCGATTAAAAATATAGGAGTTTAATTTTGAATGCATAGCGAGCTTTCCAGGCGCTTGCATTATCCAATAAAAAAAAATCATGGTATTTAAGGTGCTAAAATTTACATATTGTGCTATAGTAGCATGAAAAGGAAGCGTGAAGCGTGAACTACTGTATGTCCTTGAATTTACATGGAACTTTTTATCATACACAATATTCCTCTTAACCTGCATCTGTGCTTGATGCCTCTTCCAAATCTGCTGTATTTAAAAAAAAAAATAAAAAATTATAAGACATAGTTAAATGAAAACTTACGAAAGGGAATCACAGTAGGATTCCCATTAACTAGAAACTGGGACTATCCATTATCTAACACATACTCATCTATGCAGTAAACAAGTTGAAGCCTCCCAGCGTGGCTTAATTGCCCTCAGAAATAATAGGTGTTTTGTGGGTAGAGGCATCTCTCTTAGAAGCCCTACTGCTTTGTAACCATGGGCAACCCAATTAAGAGGCTAGGAAATGATCCGTAACTTTTTCGCGGATCGTTTTCTGGCACTTTTCCTAAATTGCTTACCTCGCAAGCAAATTCACAAGGCTGTAAAAAAAAAAAAATAATGACTTGGTTGGCTGGCTAAATTAAGTTCTTGACACGCAGTTCCACATGTCGTCATGGTACAAGGAATCCGTTTTCATTCGCTTTGAAAGTCTTCAATTTCTGCAAAGTGCATTGTACTTTTTTTTCTTTTAGGAAGTTTTGGATTGAGGCGTAAATGTGTTTTTTTCATAAGTGTTCAGATGAAGGGAATTTTTTGTAAAAAAAAAAAAATTCCCTGCTATGCATTCCAATCAAGTTCTAGAATAGACAAGTGATGTTGCATTATGTCCCCTTTCTAGTAAGAGGTCTGTTAACTGAAAGGGGGGGAGGGACCCGCTGTAGAAAATCAGGCCTGCATGATAGCCTGGATTGGCAGAAGGTTGAATTGGATTGGTAGCTTGTGCTTCTGTACCTTTTAGGAGGGTGTTGCTTGAATTAGACCATTACTTCCAAATACAGTTTATTTGGGAACATGAGTAACCACAACAATTGCTAACCAAGTTTATATTGTGTGTTCCTGGCCATAAAATATCAAATCACTTTTTCACTGGCTTATTAGTAACCTAATAGAAGCATCAGTTAACTTCTTAAGGAACTCAACCAGAACTGCGGTATTAACTGCAATCTGTAAAAACTTTTTACATACAAAGAAAACTCACAATGCTGTGGTTTTTTTCCCCAGCAGAGCTTTATTATCTCCAGCTCAGTTCTACAAAATAGTCAAAACACATCTCAATGTTCAAACATTTACAGTATGCACAATTTTGCTAAGCAAGTGGAGGTGTTTTACTGAAAAGTGCAAATTAAAAGGCAGATATAAGCGAAGAGTTTCCTTTGGATCACACTGTTTAGAATAGAAGTTGTTAAAAACATCTTAATTGCGTACAACAGAAAGAAAAACCTAAAGCCGAGTTGTATTCTTAGAAAGACATCCAGTACACATTCTAACTCAGCCAATACGATTCGGACATTTACTTTTCTAGATGATTTCACTAAACCTATAAAGCAGAACTCTTATTCTTTGTGAACGGCTTATTGGCACTGCTTCTTATATATATGAGAGTACATATATAAACACCTTTTGGAATAGTTTTGCAGCAGTTTATTAGGTTATTTTTACACTGTCACCAAAAAGTGTTTTATTTAAAAGATATCCTAAACATATGACGATGCTGGAGAGCAACTAATATTACCAAGAAGGCTTTTTCAGTTGAAGGAATAGCAGCATTATATAGTGGTGTCCCTTATTAGTGCAAACAAAGCTGACTGCTTTAATTCATTTGCATTGTTGCTTAAATACAAACAAATTTAAATTAAAAAAAATATTTAAAAATTACACAAACATAACCCCCAAAATTACAATGTTATATTAAAACTGAACTTTACATATTTTTATGATTCACCATCAAGATGGAATAAGTAGCATGTTTTCTAAAGAAAACTTTTTAAGTCTTATTTTTTACAGACATACAATGACTAGCGTGTTCAGTGCAAATATTCCTACTAACCTTTAACCTGATGCCAGCATCTCTTGTTAGGTATGGTCTTTTTTGCCCTGTTTTGCCTCCTCAAACCGCCATGTCCGTTGGGCTCTATCCTACTTGTTGATAGTATCACTTTAGAAATCTAAGGTTTCGTCTACGCAGGAGTCCCATTTAAAATCCTTCTTCCACCCCACCTTGCTGAACATAATAGGACATGCCAAGCCATAGGATTCATTCTGTACAATCCCTGCCAAACAAGTATTTTACGCAACCTGAAGAAATGGCACCTACCCAGGCAGGTTTCAGATACGAGTAGCTATGTTAGCCTCATCCCAAAGATGTTAAGTAGTCTCAGCAGATCTTGTGATTTACCTCTGGCACTGCCTGACCAAAAGAATAGCATGACTATAAGGGTGGCACTTCTACCCCACTATCGTTTGAAGATGTCTGGTGCCTGATCTTACGACCCTCACAATTGAAAAGAAAAAGAGTGGATGTAAGTGGACTGAACAATGGACATATTCAGAGAACCCCAGTTCCATAGACTTCTCAATATGGCAAGGTTGTCTTTGGATGTTCAAGCAAAGATTCTGAACCCAGCCTCAGGGCCTCTTTGGGTTAGCCAAAACAATCACAGCTGCTGCAGGTACTAGGAGGGCCAAAGACAATGAAGGGCTGAAGGGAAAAACTTCAGTAGGTCCTGTATTATAACCAGCTTTTGGTAATAAAGGAGCAATACAGACAGGACAAACACTACTGCTGCTTTCCTATTACTAAAGAAATGTTGCAAGGAATCCCCAGTGTTTAAATATTGGCAATATTCCTCATTTGCAGTAGTTTCAATTGGTAACATTAGTCTGAATCTATTGGATTTCTGCCTTGTCCAGAGTAATCTTACTACTACTGAAAATCAAACACACAGGCTTCATTATTTTGGAAGTCAAAGACGGATAGGCGATTCCACAAAACCACTTTAAAAAGGTAAGCAAAGCAGGACAAAAACGGGTTAAGCCGGTTGCCGGTTACCCTACAAAAATAAGAAGTCTTGAATGCTCACTGCAAAGAAAATTAACATTCAAATGAAATTTGTGGGGAACAATCCTCTAGAAGTTATCTTGCCCAATCCAATTAAATGAACAGAGCTTTTGGGTTGCTCCCTTCATTTGCATAGCAAAGGAAGTCTGCAAAGACTGCAGCTGTTTAATGCCTTAAATCCTATTTAGTCAGTCACATTCCTACCATGGTTTTTGGCTTTCCACTTACTATTATTTGAATTTAAAAATAAGGCGTTGGGATTATGACATGATAAAAGAAATCATGCAGAAGATCTGAAGAAACAAAGGAGCTCTTTAAAATGTGACCGTTTATGCAAGGCTCAAGAAAAGTCTGGATAAAATTGAGCGCATCTCAGTGTTGCTCTTCAGACAGAGCAGGTGAGGCGAGCTTGAAGACTCCAATGTGATTGGCCAAGACCTTCCAGGTTAGGATGATGGCTACACAAATCCTCCCATAAAGGCAGAAAACCACATTGAATCCAGCCTCTGTACTTCCTGAAATTGCCAAGAGAGCACTTCTATTGCACTTACCATAGAAGACACAAAACAATTAAACTTCACACATCTGAACATTTGGAGGCACGTTTCTTGGCGCCCGCTCAAAAGCTCTGAATGGAACTTGCTTGGGAAAATGCAGGCCACCCCTCATGTAACTAGATCCCTATGCTTCTGTTAAGGGGCATCCAATCGTCACTTCCAGACCCACAGAGAAGATACCCTAAGAGCCTGTACCTTTCCACTCGACTCATCTCTCCCCAATACATACCTATTGGGGGTTTTTTTCCATTACAAACACAGTCAACCTGAGAAACTTAAAAAAAGATACAAACTTGCCCATTTCCCTGTTTTTGGGGGGGGGGAGATGGCAAAACAGCTTCTATTGCCATTTGGTTGTTACTTAAGTTATATTATCAAATAATTGAGATACCAACATTGTCCTACAGAATACCACTCACTGAACTGGTGTCATTAATATTAATATCATTGCACTAAATGAGGGGCTTTTTTTTTTTATAAATTGCACACCCTAATTGTTTCTTTAACTTTTATTTACTAGGAGTATGTGCATCATTGCTCAGAACAGAACAGTTAAGACCAAAGCAAGAAGTCTCATTCCATTAATTCAGGAATATAAATTATTGCAAAAACATGCAGTTGTTAAAAAGAAACTTAAAATCTTGCATGGCATCCTGGGTGTTCACAGTATTCTCCGTAAACAGTCATATCTTTGGACACAGGCTGGCTTGATTCCCACACACCTCTCTCCTCCGAAGCAGAATTGCATTCCCGGCTGAGCTTCACTTGGTAGTCCATCATTCAGTCCTCCTAGCCTCTCAGTGATGGTTGGAGGAATCCTTTCTCGATGAGGTGTGATTTCAAAGTTTTATAAATGTTTAATTGCTCCTCTGGCTGGAGTACCAACAGTTGTTTCAGCAATTTGCTGGGATTCGGGCCCCTGGTGATTACATTTAAGAAGACAACATTTCAATCTGCAGTGCCACTTTTCTATTTGTTTGATTTGTATATCAATTATAAAAAAACAATATAGCAATAAAAAAAAAGACCCATAAGTAAAGATAGCAAAAGGGGCAGTGAAACATGCCCCTTCCTCAGAAGGCTCCATGCCCTTACTTGCCAAAGGCCTGGTGAAAAATCTGATCTTCAAAGCACTCCAAAATACCGGTTGGATCTTGGGAACTTTTCAGAGGGCAGGTGTTTCTGGAGTCCCAATATAGGGCCCTTTTTAATGGAAGGGATCCCAAGCACAGCAACACTGTTGGATCAAAGCCACCAGGCAGATACTAGGAACCCTCAAGTAGCTGACCCTATGCCACATAGGGCTTTATAGGTAACAACCAGGACCTTGAACTGCACCCAGAAGCAACTGCCAACCTGTGGAGCCTGGTAAGCAGAGGTGGTAATGCCCTCTGAACACTGCCTATACTGGTACATTCTGAACCAATTGAACTTTTTGTACAGCCCCATGTACAGTATATTGCAAAATCAAGCTGTGAGCCAGCCTGGGCTTTTTCATTCAATAATTTTTGTTTAATGTTTTTTTTTTCTTTAGCAGTGTGCTCTAGAAGCAAAATAAACACTAAAAATACTTTTGCAAGAGACAGAAGGGGAAAAAAACCCAAATTCCAACTGATCATCATTGCTGAAGAGGTGATATCAGATGTGCTGCTGTCTCTTAGCACTTCATAACCTATTGACACAAGGGGCAGCGGGGGAACAACCTGTTAATCCTAAATCCTGCGTTTCATCTGCAACTCTAATCCTTCCTGCTCCTTGTTTATTTGATTGTTAATCTCAGGGTTCCTTCCTTCCTGCCTGCCTGCCTTTGTTTTCTAGGCATGCACCCAGGAGAGCTCTCCTCTTCACTATATTCCTGGTGGGACAGAACCAGCTAAGCACTAGGCTTTTCTGACGACCTCATGAACTTCCTGTAAATAAGTCTTTCTGTTTAGATTACAAAACCTGGCTTCTGTAATCCTTACTCAGGTCTGATCCTCTTCTCTCCAGGAACACAAAGTACTTCCTCTAACAATAGCAAGCTTACTTTCCCATTATAAAAAGCTGCCAGGGAAATTCGCTATTAGATAACTAGAGAATCTGCCGTCTAAACAATAAAGAGCTGACTTCTCTTGCATGACTGGCTGAGCGCTAATATAGATTCCGCATGAGAGGATGTAAGCAGTACTGCCTGCTTTGCCATCGGAGCTCTGAATTTCTCAATTCGGCCCTAATTCATCTCCGCTTTGCTTCCCTGTTTCAAATGCCATCGGAATGAAGATGTCAGGTGACAAGGGAGAGAACAAGTGAGACCCAGGACTTTTGCTAAATATTTTACATAATGTTCAAGTCAGATGAAAATCAGGGATTCTTATTATATATCATGGCAATCCTTACTTATTTAGAGGTAATACAAAATTCTATGACATGAAGAAATTGCTTGCACTGCTACCCAGATCTATTCTTTCTATTTTTAGCCTGCTGCTGAACTCAAAAACGATACATCCCCACGGTGCCTTTTTTAGATACCATTTCATAGGCAAACACTACTGGGCCTTCTCTGTTTATAATTGCTGACACATTCAAGAACTCATAAAAGTTTGACACAGCATCTTTTGCAAAAAGAATGCTGAGTTTTCCTTAGGAAAACTTGTGATTCTACACAATTGTAAAACCTCTTCTTCTTCCTAGCGTATTCCTGCAGAAGCAGGATCTGCTTTTCGGATCCTTGAATGCCACTTTGCACGGTCGGCTGCGTCTCCAGGGCGCAGGCCAGCAGCTTGCATGTCTACAATTGCAAAACCTGGACTTTAAATTAAACAGTCTCAATGCCGGCCATATTCCATTCCTCTAAGACTGATTTTTGTGATACATTTTTATTTCAGCTCAATAAATGTTTAAGATATTATTATTTTTAAGGGCAGAGAGTGAGTAACTTTTGAGGATGAGAATAATTGACAGGGCCAATTATAAAGCTATACAGAGCTTTATAAATAGTAAACAGTACTCAGAACATACTGGTAACGACGCAGCTCCTATAGTGGGACAATGGGACATTATCAGGTTGTCAGGAAGCAAGCAGGCAGCTGATTCAGAGGGTGGAAACGGCTATGTTTGGTTTCTGGAAGATAAACCACTTCCATTTCCAAGCACATTGCCAGTTTTTCCTGGAAAACTTGGCTGAAATTTACCAGCTTAATTTCAGGCTGTTTTTCAGGTTTTCTAGTGTTGGGGTTATAGATGAGAATTAAGCAATTTGCTTCCCAGAGGGCTCTCTCCAAAACCTGGCCATTTGATTGAGGTTCAGCATCCTATTCTCAGAAGACTTGGGTGCAGAAATGGGGTGCTGGGGAACCACGTGTAGCTTCCTAGTTGTAGTTTATCTCACCTATTTTGGAGTCCATGAGAATGGCTAAATTGGCTTCTTTGCTCTCAGCACCACTTGGACACAGCCCAGCATTTGAGACACGGATGGTACGAAAGCACTGGTATCTTTTCCAACCAACTCTAAAATGACACCTTACGGAAACATACCTTATGAAACTGGTAATATAGACATGTACAAAAGTAGCCATCAAGTACTGACAATCAAAACGATCCATTATTCCACCATGGCCAGGAATAGTATCAGCAAAATCCTTAAAGAGAAAAGGATGTCCTTATATTAAGTATTTGACTACATGGCCCAGTATCCACAGTTAGAACTGTTTAGTAGGACTGTCAATCAATTGAATGTTGTGAAATTCTGATCTGGCAGATCACAATAGAATGGACAATCCATAGACAGATTACCTCCAAGTAATAGACATAATATAGACATAATATATATTATAATGTATATATAATATATTTTGTGTGTGTGTGTGTGTGTGTGTGTTTTCTTTTAGCCAGGTTTTTCCTACATAGCCAAGATTTTTCTACAGCCCTAGCTCAGTGGAATCACATCCACTCGATTCTGGGCTTTTTTTCTTCTGGCAGCCAGCAGGCCCTATGCTGCCCTATGCTGCTTAGTGAGAGACTTATATAGATCTATTTCTGGCTCATTAGACTCCACTGAGCTAGGGCTGTAGAAAAATTTGGCTACGTAGGAAAAACTTGGCTAAAAGAAAAACACACATAAAACCTACGAATGAAAATATATATATATATATATATATATAATGTATGTATATATATATGTATGTATATATATATGTATGTATATATATATGTATATTAATATAATATAATATAATATAATATAATATAATATAATATAATATATCATATCATATCATATATATTATAATATCTAATAATATAATATAGTAATATAGACATAGATGACCTCCAAGGTCCCTTCCAACTCTGCACCGTTACTGACAGGGAACAACAGGGAATTTGCAAAAATAGTGTGTGATGATGTCACTATGCAAATTACATAATTTGTATCAATGCTGTCATTTGCATAATGACATACAAATGACATTATTTTGGATTGACTCGGGCTATTTGCATAATGATGTTTATATGCAAATTACATTATTTTGTATCAATTTATGTCATTTGCATAATGAGGCCATCACACAAAAGGCATAAATTGATACAAGTGGCTTAATCTGCATAATGATCTCATTACCCAAATGACATAAATTGCTATGTTTGCATGCTTTGGTACTGAACAGACATTTGTGAATACAAGACATCTCCTTCCCCTTAAATCATTAAACATTATGAGGTTTCATTGTTGCTATCTTTTAAACTATTGAGTTGAAAGTTAATTATCACTGCAGTAGTCCATTAATCATAGTTTATTATCTTTAGCAACTGAAGACACATTTTTTAAAATTTATGCTTACAAAAAGCCATCCCAGGTTATGTACTCACCTTGATTTTGAAAGCTCTTTTGAATCCACTAGCAAAAAACCCTCCAAATGGCCCAATTAAAGAGGCAAATGTTGACAATGCAAAGCTGTGCATCTGGAATGGGTACAATGTCACGGTTTCCTGCAATAAGACGCAATTGTTAGCTTTTATCAGCATTTATTTGACATTAACAGAGAAAATCAGTCCTAAATTTAGCATATTAAAGGTTTAAAAGCTTTCAAGCAAAATTAACAACTGAATTGTACAAACAGGAAATAACCTTGGTAGCCATGGTAAAAGTTGGAGTAAAGGTTGGAGATACATATCATCCAGAGAAGTTCATATGATTCTTTTCTTCTGTTATGAAAAGGGTAAAAATGATTCCTCTTTTGAGGCTAACTTAGGCCAGAAGAAGTATGACTTCACCCGAACTATGTTGCTGAATGATTAGGTTTTTTCCTCATCAGCATCATCAAGTTCATATAAATAGTATATGAACTTGATGAAGCTAGCAAAGTAACTGAAGCTCTGTCCAGCAGAAGTGGGATGTGCGTAATCAGGGTCTGGTACCAGAATTATATCTTCCTATTTAAATGAAAGGCACATAATGGGGCATTCTAGTTGCAAGGACGTTCTCAAGGTGGTAGAAAGCCCTTCTTCAACCCAGAGGACAATCCACAGAATAGGTTTCTTTCACATCTTGCTATCCAAGTGCAAAATGGACCTTTCTTTCTGCCTATTCTGCCATAGTGGGTCAAATGAGGTTCTAACCTTCTGCCAAGGGTAGAGGAGTGTCATAAAAGGGGGAGAGGAGTAAAGGTAAAGGTTTCCCTTGTTCAGTCATGTCCAACTCTAGGGAGCAGTGTGCATCTCCGTTTCTTAGCCAAGGGAGCCAACATCGTCTGAAGATACTTCCGTGGTCATGTGGCCAGAAAGATTATACACCGAGGCACACAGAACACTGTTACCTTCCCACTGAATGGTACCTATTTATCTACTCACATTTGCATGCTTTCAAACTGCTAAGTGGGCAGGAGTAATGGGTGCTCACCCCTTTGCATGGTGCTCAGGTCTTGAACCCAGAATGGCAGCTTTCCAGCTGACAAGCTCACTGTCTTTAACCTCTAAGCCATTGCACTTTTCTTCATAAAAGAAAAACTTAACAGTGATTTTCTTTGGGATATATTCTTGTACCTGTGGGAAACAGGGTGAAAAGCCTGTTCCTAGTATTGTTATTTTATTTGCTCTAACAAACTAACCGGACGGAGAGCTGGGCATTTTAGATACTTTAGGCCTTTTTGTAGCCAATTTTCTGAATGCTTAAGATCTAGCTTTTCTTTAAGGATTTGACTTTGCATACCTTTCTCAGAATAATCTGAAGCAATGATGGTAAGGAGTACTTCTTTAGCTGGAAAAGTTCTGATGGTTCACATTCTGTGACAAACCTGTTAGTTTCACTGTTGTATTCCACAGGACATACAAAGTACTGGTATTGTGCCAGAAGATGAGCAACCTGAAAGGACAATAGATATTCTTAGATATTGCTGATTAAGGACTTCCTGTAGGGTTGAGGGGAAATTATGAGCTTCTCCAAACCTCCACTAAGCCTTTATATCCTCTGAAATTAGGTAAATGGTGGCTGGAAAGAAACCTTAGGAGGAAGGCACACAATGTGACTAGGCTGGCTGGCTAAAACTTGCTACCCTTGATATCTTTTAATTACTACCAAACTATTACTGAACTGTTATTACCAAAATTAAACAAAATGCTCACACATTTGCAATACTCAATGCTAGTCTATACACTAAGGGGAGGCCTTGTCTCCTTCTAAGGCAAAACACAATTCTTAAAAGTAACTCTCCTTTTAGGATTCATATCAGGTTGAATGTCTATAAATCTTGCAACAAGGGAAATCACCCACTTTCTCCCATTGTCCTTTGTACCAATATAAACAACATAAATCTTATTCCATGAGCCACCCAGGAACAGCAAGAACACCTGATGGATTCAGTTTATTATTCAAAACCAGCTGTTCTCCTATATCCCTATTTATAGCTGCAGAACTCCATTTGGTAATATCAAGAACAATATTAAAGATCTGACAATGCATATTATCCATCTATAAATTATACTGAATTATGTTACTATTGAAAAATGCTATCGTTGCAGATCAGTGTAAAGTAATAATCCCAACCATGTGCTTAAGGTAAACTTTTGGTTTCTGACTTGATGCAAATCAGTAAAAATAATTGGGGTCGCTGGCAAAAAGTTAAAGCTGCTTCAGCAGTGATTCACTGCCTATGAAACTGCTTTGAATTACACAAGGTCTTTACATTTTTAAGATTATTTCAATGTCTTTACTATATTGCAGCCTGCTTTTTCTGAAATGTCCCTGCAGTGCTGGATTTTGAATCTCTTATACTTATCTTAATGAAACTTTTAATAGTTATATTAGATAGCACTTAGATTTATATACCGCTTCACAGTGCTTTACAGCCTTTTCTAAGTGGTTTACAGAGTCAGGCTATTGCCCCCAACAATCTGGGTCCTCATTTTACCGACCACGGAAGGATGGAAGCCTGTTGAGATTTGAACTGCCAAATTGCAGTCAGCCAGCAGTCAGCAGAAGTAGCCTGCAGTACTGCACTCTAACCACTGTGCCACCGCAGCTCATAATACATCTTATTTATATTCACAATACCCATCTGAGAGCCATCTCTTCAAAAATGCCTATAAATAATGTACATACTGTTCGGTTAGATGTGAGTTATTTCTCAGTTTCGACAATGATTTTTATTATGGTGATTACAGATGATTGCTAATATACATAGCATATTAATAACCAACCATTGTAATATCTGCCACTCATAAATTTCAATAAGAGTAGAGCATTAAGTTTTAACTTAGTTTAATGCTACAGATTACCAGCCATTCTAGTCATTTATGCCAATTTCAATATCAGCACCAAATAATACAATGTTATTAAGGAAGATACTGCATCCACTTACAATAAATCCAAATATAACTGTGATAAAGAATCCACCAATGAAGCCTTCCCAGGTCTTTTTGGGAGAGAGCTAATCAAAAAGAGAAAATAAGAAATTAAAAAACAGCAAATGGCTGTGTTGACTCATTTACTTTTGTCTAGGTTCCTTCCAAACAACATGAAAATTCAGACAGTTACATCAAAAGGTTACTTATTCCATGAAAGGTGGAACAATCTGTCAAGCGCAGGAAATCCAAGCAGTTAAATATATATATATATAGATATATATTATATATCCACATGTTAAAAAAAAAACCTTTTAAGAAGATGGGTGAGAGAAATACATTGTATTAGGAATGTAATTGCTAACATAATCAAACAAGTGCACATAACATACTAAATAAGAATATACAGTGGTGCTTAGAAGTTTGTGAACCCTTTTGAATTTTCAATATTTCTGCATAAATACCACCTGAAATTTGACCTCTTCTCCACACGTTCTAAAACAAGATAAAGAGAATACAATTAAATAAATGATTCAAAAACATTATACTGCATTTATTCATTTGAGAAAAATTATCCCAAGCTATGTAATAGTGTGTAGCAAAAGTACTGAATTTCTAGAATTTTCAGTTCATTTGAAGCGGAAATTAGAGTCAGGTGTCTCAATCAATGGGATAATAACCAGATATGAATGTGGGAGGTCCTGCTTTATTTAAAGAACAGAATTCTCTATCAAAATAAGATTGTTACAACACAGGTATGTGGGAGTGTATTGTGGATTAAAAACAAAGGAGATTTCTGAGGATCTCTGAAAAACACCTGGTGATGTTCACCAGTTAGAAAAGTTTACAAAACTCTATCCAAAGAGTTTGGACTCCACCTGTCTTCTGTCAGGCAGTATGTGTGCAATGGAGGCAGTCTAAGACTACGATTATCCTCCTCAGGAGTATTTGACCCACCAAGATCACCCCAAAAACAAGGCTTGTAATAATCTGGGAGGTCTCCAAGAACCCCAGGATAACATCTAAGGAATTAAAGGCCTCTCGTACATTAGCGTACAATGTTGGTGCTTATGAGACCACTATCAGTAGAATACTGAAGAACAACAGTGTGCATGATGCGGTTGCAAAAAAAAAAACAAAACCCACTACACTTGAAAAACACCATTGTTGGCCATTACAGTTTAAGAATGAACACATGTATAAGCCAAAAGGCTCTTGTAAGAAAGTTCTTTGAACAGACGAGACCAAAACAGAAATTTTTGTCTTGAATGAAAAGCATTATGTTTGTCAAAAGGTAAACACTGTATTCCAGGGTAAGAACCTTATCCCATCTGTGGAATATGGTAGTAGCATAGTTCGGACCTGCTTTACTTCCTCTAGACTAGAATAGCTTGCTATCATTGTTAGAAATTTTATTTCTGAATTGTACTAGCAAATTTTACAGGAAAATGTCAGGGTAACTTTTCATGAACTGAAGCTCAAAAGAAAGTGGGTCATGCAGTAAGACTATGACCCAAAACACAGAAGTCATACATATAGTTAAAGCAGAAGAAAGTTCTGGACGGGCCAAGTCAAAGTCCTAACCTTAATCTCAAGAGATCTGAGTACCTGAAGCAGCCAGTTAACACGAGGAAGCTAACTGAACTGAAGCTGTTCTGTAAGGAGGAATGACTAAAATTTCTCAAAGCTGATATGCAGGACTGACCAACCGTTATTGGAAATGTTCAGTTGAAGTTACTGTTGCCCAAGTTTTTAGTTTTAGTTTTATTGAATTTGTATACCGCCCTACTCCCAAAGGACTCAGGGCGGTGAACAGCCATAGAATAAAACAATATAAATACAAAATTTAAAATAGAATAAAACGAATTAAATAATTTGGCTGAACAAATTTAAAACCCCAATACTTTAAAACCAAATTTAAAATTTCCATTTAAAAAGTGGGCACACAATTACTGAAAGCAAAGGCAAATATATAGCTTTGGATAATTTTCCTAAATGATAAAAAACAAGTATAATTTTTTTCATTTGTTTGCTTAATTTATCTAGTTTTAGGACTTGTGTGGAGAATTAATCGTTTTAGGTTGTATTTATGTCAAAATATTGCAAATTCAAAAGGGTTCACAAACTGTTAAGCACCACTGTATTGTATAATTTGAGTAATGATACCTCTAGGAGGGTAATAAGATTTAGTTTTCTAGCAATGTTAATTTGGGGTGGAATGGTGGTAAGAAATAAGAGTGCTTATATTTTTTATAATATACATTTTTTATTTATTTTTATTTATTTATTTTCAAATTTCTATACCGCCCTTCTCCTTTCGGACTCAGGGCGGTGAACAGCCAAGTAAAACACTTTATATACAAAAGTTAAAATAGATTTAAAATAATTAAATAATTTGGCCCATAATTTAAAACATTTCAATTTAAAACCAATTTCAAATTTTAAAAACCCCATCATAAAATCAGGACAGCCCGGCTAACTGAAAGAGGTAGGTACATATCCCAATCACCTACAAAAATTAGTATTTTTATACACAATCATAATCTCACTGCAACAACTCTGTTTCTACTTTCTGTCACTGTAATATGAAACAATCAGGCATACACAATAACTAGGGATAGAATAAATTAAGCAATTTACAATCCAGTAAAATTATAACAATCAGAAGATAGTCTTATCCAGATAATATGAATGTACTGTATATTAGTTAAACCAAGATTATAATCTGTTAGAAATACAAGCACAAACTATATATTTTATTTTGCACTTTCATTGTCAGAAAAACAATGTCTTTTTCCAATTCTGACGGATTTCTAAAAAAGCTTTATAAGGGATGCCTCTCAAATCATAAAGTATTTCTCAAAACCAGAGGTGATTTCTACAAAGGCTGGATGAGGCAATGGTGTGAGAAACTACTGGCAGTGTTTAAAATTTTTCTCTGAACTACCTTGTAATCAATGTGCAAATTTCAAGCTATGTATTTTTTACTCATTTACCTTAATTAATGGTGTTCTGCCAAAGAAGAATCCACATATATAAGCAGCAATATCGTTGCAAATGACACTTGTAATTGGAACAAGAAACCTGCACAGCAAAGGGGGGGGGGAGTTAAATAATTTAAATTAAAAAACCAGACCGTATTATGACCATAATGTCTTAATCTGTAATTTATACTTCAACAATACTGGTGTCTACTAAATCACTAAGAACTGAACTCAGCTCAAGAGAGTCTGTCATTATCTTTTTGCCAAAGGGAATCTCAATTTCAGAGCAGCTGCTAAGCAAAAAAATGAGGTAGAAATGTTGCTCTGGTTCACGTAAGGAATAATGGTAACCCAAACCAGTTAAACTATTGGTAGTCCTTAACTGATGACCACAATTAAGCCCAAAATTTATGTTGTTAAGTGAGAAATTGGTTAAGTGAGCTTTGTCCCATTTTGCGACTTTTCTTGCCACACTTAGTTAAGTGAATCACTGCAGTTGTTAAGTTAGAAACATGATTGTTAAGTGAATCTGGCTTCCTCATTGACTTGGCTTGTTGGAAGGTTGCAAAAGATGATCACATGATGGCAGGACACTGCAACGGTCCTAAATATGAAAAATGGTCAAAAGTCACTTTTTTCAGTGCTGTTGTAACTTCGAGTGATCACTAAATGATCTAAATGTCTTACAACTAAATGTTGTAAGACGAGGACTACCTGTAAAGCCATTGAATTAGGGAGAGTTATTTTCAATAATACCTGGTTGCTAAGCTATATTCATCCATGAGTTTTCAACAAACAGATATTGTATTGCAAGTATCGTTAAACTGAAAAAGCAAGCACTGCTACTATGTTGGTGGGATTTGTGAGGACTTTTTTAGAAAAAGGTGCAGACCAACAAAGAGTGTAGTGTTATCTTCCTTGTTATGTTATACAATAAGCTTACACAACCATGCTCAGTAATGTTATGGTTCAGTTAGCCCTTGCCTTACAACTGTTTGTTTAGTGACTATTTAGAGTAACTATTTAAAGTTACAACAGTGCTGAAAATAGAGACTTATGACTGGTCCTTGCACTTATGACAGTTACAGCATCTCTGTGGTCATGTGATCAAACTTTGAGTATGCATTTATGACAGTTGCAGCATCCCAAGTTCATATGATTGCCATTTGCAAGCTTCCCAACTGGCATCTGACAAGCAAAGTCAATGGAAGAAGCTGGATTCACTTACTGACTGCATGATGATTCACTTAACAATCTTGGCCAAAAGGTGGTAAAATTGGACGTAACTCACTTAACAATCTCCTTGCTTAACAATGGAAATTCTCAATTGTGGTTGTAAGTCAAGAACTACCTCCACTTATTTACTTCTTAATTTGCCATTTAACCCTTAGCATGAAACCTATACTATGTATCTCTGCATATATTCCCACATACATTATATGCCTAAATCCTAAAGAATCCCATTTGCAGGGGGTTTTTTGTCCTCTTAAAAGTATCTCTTTTGACACCTTTTAGCCACCTTAGAGTTAGTTGGCTTCTGTTGCTAGCTGGCGTCCTGCTACTCTCAATTCAACACTTGTTCTGAAGTGCTGCCAAGACATAGGCTTTAGTTATCCTTCAACTGGCAATGTGGGGAAAGGAAAGTATGTTACTAGCTGCTGCCTGGCTATAGGCTCTTTGTGTCTTTGGTGGACATGGAGTGGCTGCTGGACTCTACTTTTCCTTTCAAGTATTCCATGGTTATTGGAATTCATACCCAACCTTGTTTTGAAGCCAGTTGATACACTTTATCCTGGCATCTGTTCACCTCTCTTTGCTCTCCCACAAGACAAAAATAATCTTCTAACTCAGACCTACACACACCAGCTGAAAGTTTGATTATCATGACCAATTCTTGTCAATCAGAGGATGAAGGATTTAACTGGGAAACTTTATAGCAATGTTTTCTTGCTGACACTTCAGAAAGGTCTCACTTCAAAACCATGGAAAAAATCATTAAAAAACATAATACTCTTTAGAATATAGATACTGGCATAGATATAGATTTATAATAATTCTTGCAAGAATTATTGTTCCCTTACCAGATCATGCCTTCAAACAGATTTTGGATGACAAGATGAGACTGAGTTACAGTGATCAGCAAAGTGACATGAGTCCATGCGAACTGGTAATAGTGTAATAATACGACAATTAGTTACAAAAGCAAAAAACATTACAAGACAGTTATGAGAAGAGACATCTATAACAATATTTATATCTTCCACTTGGTAATTAAAAATGCAGAAATTAACTTAATATGAATGGCATATAAGGAAAATCATAATTATCAATCTAGATGTATACACAATATAGAATTGGAATATTAAAATGTTAGTGATATATGACATAGTGAAATCATACTATGTAACTGAAAAATTGTAGACAGGTTCTACAAATTATTAATGCTTAAAATGTGATCTCCACAGAACTAGATAAGTCCTTTCTTAACAATAAATTCAATGTGCTGCCCCTTGTAATATTTGTTATAATGAAATAACAATCTCAATATAATTAATGCCTGATCAACTAACAAACATAAAAGGTTTAGTTTCCACTTGCATTCTATCCATTTTTGTTAGATTTGACCCAAATCTTTATTAGTTTGATCTAGTGAAAATACTAAAAGAAATGTCTTCTCCAAGAGCCTTGGTAGTACAGTGGTCTAAGGCACCCTGTTATTAAGCTGGTTATTAAGACCAGCTGCCTGCAATTACTGCAGGTTCGAATCTTGCCAAGGCTCAAGGTTGACTCAGCCTTCCATCCTTTCTAAGGTAGATAAATTGAGGACCCAGTTGTGGGGGCAATAAGCTGACTTTGTATAAATATACAAAAAGGATGAAGGCTATTGCTGAGCACATTGTAAGCCGCCCTGAGTCTCCGGAGAAGGGCGGCATATAAATCAAATTTAAAAAAAAATAAAAAATAAAAAAAATATAAGCATATAACTTTCAGTTTCTGTTTCTAGAGAATTTTCAAATGCCTAACTTAATTGCAATGGCCATCAGTTAAAAGTGATAAAAAATAAAGGTAAAGTTCCCCTGGCACATGTGCTAGTCGTTCCCTACTCTAGGGGGTGGTGCTCATCTCCGTTTCAAAGCCAAAGAGCCACGCTGTCCGAAGAAGTCTCCGTGGTCATGTGGCCGGCATGACTAAATGCCAAAGGCGCATGGAACACTGTTACTTTCCCTCCAAAGGTGGTCCCTATTTTGCTATTTGCATTTTTTACGTGCTTTCGAACTGCTAGGTTGGCAGAAGCTGGGACAAGTAACGGGAGCTCACCCCATTACACAGCACTAGGGATTCGAATCGCTGAACTGCCGACCTATCGATCGAAAAGCTCAGCATCTTAGCCACTGAGCCACCATTAGCTCTAAAAAGGCATGGACTAGACCAGTGATGGCTAACCTTTTTGCCATCGCGTGCCAGGAGAGGGGGGGGAGGGTCGCGCACGCACATGCCCACGCGCATGTGTGCGCAACCCCCTCCCCCCCCACCGCTCCTGGCACAGGATGGCCTGGTAGGCCTGTTTTTCTTTCTTACCTGGTTCCAGATCCTCTCTGTGTATCTGGGAATGGCGAAAACAGCCTTTCCCACTCCCTTGGAGGCCCTATGGAGGCTGAAAGGGCCCATTTCCCAACTCCCGGTGGGACAGGAAGCGACGTTTTTTGCTGTCCCCAGCCTCCAGAACCTCTCTAGGAGTCTCTAAGAGCCTCTCTAGGAGTCTGTAGGAGCCGCTCTAGGAGTCTCTGGAGGCTGCGGACAGGAAAAAACGTCACTTCCTGTCCCACCGGGAGTGGGGAAATGGGCCCTTTCAGCCTCCGTAGGGCCTCCAAGGGAGTGGTGAAGGCTGTTTTCACCGTTCCCAGATACACAGAGGGGATCTGGAGCCAGGTAAGAAAGAAAAACGGGCCTTCCCCACCCACCCCCAGGCCCTCCAGAGGCAGGAAACAGCCTAATATGGCTCCGCGTGCCACCTATGGCACGCGTGCCATAGGTTCGCCATCACGGGACTAGACATTGCCATTTAAGATTTTGTGCCTTTGCTGCAAACAAATTTTCAATTTCCCTGCAAAGCAGTGCTATGAGGAGATTTTCCAGGACAGCTCTTGCGTTACTATACAATCACAGGATGCAAAAACTGTCAATTTCGCATTTAAATGTTCATTCTGAACTTATTTAGAATACAGTCAGTTTTGCTGACTGAAGTCTACAGAAAATAGGAATCTTTCTCTGTGCTGAAAACATTGTAACAATCTTAGAATTATTGAATAATCAATGTTAGAATCTTCCTATTTTAAGAATCTGGGATTATTTACTACTAAGTCAAATTAAATGTGATGGTGTAAATAATTTTGACTTGTGTCCATGAGTCTTTAAAATTTACTCTATGAACATTTCTATTCCAAAACAAAAGCATGCTTTAAAGAGCAATCAAGATACTCAAAGATTGATACATACCATATAAAACTGTAAACGATAATGTCTCTTCACCAAACTCAATACAAACATACAAAATCCTATACAAAAATAAAAAGACAGGGGTATGTTTTACAGCATTGTTCTCCTTATGCTAAATAAATCGTATCAAGCTCATCAGCAAAAGACTGCTGGTTATTAGTTCATTTGTACTGATAAGAGCCCACAATGCAATCTATAAATATTTTTGAATAAATACATTGAATACTGTGTTATTTCCATCATGATGACACACAAGAAATACGTACTTGTGTCATTTCTATCATGATATATATGATGTCACTTGCCACCATCCAAGTTACTTTCCCCTTTGGACATTCATTAGATCAGTTTACACACTATATAATTTAAGATGAATCACATGATTTGCAGCATGAAAACTGTGAGCAAAGATCCCATTTCTCAAGTTCTGTTAATAACATCTGCAAGTGTAATTACTGTATTCTTATTCAAGGAAGTCTTCAAAACACAGTGGCATAAATCGATTTATAATTTATTTTATCTGAAAAGCTAAACTGCGTCAAATACTTCTTTAAAAAAAGTCTTAGCTATTTGGTTAGCTTTGCAGAAAATATTTTTTTAAAAAATCCAATACTCCTAGATTGTTCTTCGTCTTAAGCAGTGAGTCAATTAATTAATATTAATTAATGAATTTCTATAAACCATCTTTTGAAACTATAATTTTGGCTGTTATTAAAAATGCAAATTCTATGTAGCATTTATTCTTATCTGTCAATAAAGTTTGCAAATTAACATAAACCTTGATCATCTGTACTCCATGCAAGTTTGAAAGGCACATTAAAGGGCAGCTTCTATCATATATAATCTACTACCCAAAGTGCCCTAGAACACGGATGTCAAACTCAATTTCATTGAGGGCCGCATCAGGGATGTGGTTGACCTCAGGGAGCCGGGTGGGCGTGGCCAACTGGGTGGGCATGCTCAACTGGGTGGGCATGGCCAGCTTGCCACCATTCACTGAGTGTGGCCAACTTGGGGGGGGGCAGCTTGACACCACTCCCCAAACTGCTGGCATCTTTCCTCTTCGCACTGGGTAGATCGGGCCTAAGCCACGCTGGCCCAATGTTTCCTCTTCGCATTGGGTAGACTGGGCCGAAGCGACAGGGGCTGGCCCCTTAAATTTCCAGGACAGCTCCACAGGCCAAATGTGGCCAGCGAGTCTTGTGTTTGACACCCCTGAATCTCTGCAACTACTAATACACATTACATTTACAAGGCAAGAATGCAATTTTTGAAAACATGTTTGAAAACATAATTCTGCCTGTTATGTGATCCAGAGAATTTCTTCTTCCTTGAAAATGTTACCGCTCTTGCTACCTAAACACAGCTTGAAATTAAATGGAGGGGAAACTGAAGAAACCTGACAAACAGTTTTCCTGACATGTTTCAGTGTATTTTATTCTTCAAAAACCATATAAAATATATAACAGAAAAAAAACTATTATTTACTTTTTTTATTATTAGAATGCTACTGCTAAATACATGCTCTCAGGACTAAACAAAGATTGCCATGTCTTTTCTGATCCATACTCCCAATATCAGAGCTAATCTACAGTTTCCTTAAGAACAGATGACAGAACGAGTATCAAAAATGATTTGATAGGTCTACAATATTCACTGTAACTCTTGGATATGTATTTTAGATTCTTTTCTTTTTAACCTTCAAAGGCTATGGAGCTATGCCAAGTATTCAAAGTGTGTTTCACAAAGCATGTTGGTGCAAACAAAGAGAATCTCCTTAAAGACCGAGACATTCTCCAGAAAGCCTTGTGAAAGCAGTTGCAAAAGCTCTTTTGAATTTTCTTCCAGCAAAACATTTTACGTGCACATGCATGCAGAAATGTCCTCGGAAAACCCCCACTGCCACTGCTTATGGCAACTTACTTTGCAACAAGTTGCTACGAATGTTCTCCATTGTCCTAATAAATTTATTAAGGCCATATATAAGATAATATTTTGTATTTTGAAGGAGAATACCAAAGGTAGAATGTTCAACAAGTTATATCAAAGCATGCAAAATACATTGACTACTGACAAGCTTTATTCTTACCTGCCAGATAAAGTGTAAAAGATATAAATCGATGGTAGCGAATTAGGAATTGAAGTTGTTCTCGTCTCTGAACAAAAGTAGCAAAGTAATCTGCTACTGTCTCACCATAAAAGAAATAGTTCACACATAACAAGAAGTACCTGTAACATAAATTATAGATTAATTACTTTGTGAGATATGAGCTACGAAGTTTATTATATTTTATTTTACATTCTTGGTACATATAATTTAAAATGATAGAATCAAAACATTCACTCAATTCAATCCAAAAAATTACCAATATTCCGATACTTTAAAATAAACCATACAACTGATAGACTCACAAAAGAATTACAAAACAGAGAGGAACATGACTATTATCTAGTATGGGAAAAGTGATATGTCTGGTTGGAAAATAGGAAAGGGATAAAAGATTAGGAAATAAAGGAAACGACCAAATATAGAAAGAGGAATGTAAACCACATATATAGGTCAATCAAGAATTGTAAAGACAGAAAAGATAGACCAAACAAGGTGGAGTCAAATTGTAAATGAAATTATATAATACAGTTGCGATAAATTGGACATGTATGTAAATTTATGTTTATATGTTTTGTGTGTTTTACTGTTTGTCTGGTTTGTATTTATAAATAAAAAACCTTTAAAAAAAAACATACAACTGATGGAGGGTTGTCTAAAATAGACATATTTTGCACTAGGAAGAATACAAGTATTTAAATTAGTGTTATTTGATAAGTATTTATAATTTGGACACCAAATTAATTCAATTAAGTTGAGCTGATCCCACTGTTATGGGGGTCTCAAGAGTTTACTTTAAACGCATTCGGAATGGAAGCATCACACAAAGCCAGCGGCTGGAAGCAGAATCATTAAATCCTAGGTTGATATTTTTCTTAGAAAGCAACCATGATAAAAAAAATGAAATTTGGAATCAGAACTAACATTTTTAAAAATCCAGTTGTTACTTACCAGCTTAATGTTCTAAACCATGGTAGGTCGTAAGAGCGATATACTCTGTAACCAATAGTGATGATTTCATGAAAGCACTTGACTTGAATGGTTAAGACCTGAAATAATGGAAAGGGGTAACAGAAGTTCTAATATCAGGTTTTCTAGTGGCATGAGAGATTATAAAATATTCACATACTGTCATTTCTAGAATTTGTACAAATCAGTTTGTCTTAACTAAATGACACTGAATTGTCATTCTGCTGATATAACTAGAGAAGCATATTATTCTAATAAAACCCCAGGAATTCTGAAAATTGCCCATTTATTGTAACATTGCAAGGCACCTCTTCATTCATTCTTGTTACAATTAAACCTTGGATTCTGACTTTTATAGTTCCACCTAGAATTACATGAAATGTTGAGATGTAAAACTTACAAGCAGCATCAGCATAAATGATCCCATGTATATAATGAGGGAGAAACCTGAAATCATTGCTAAAGTTAAAATTCCACGAATCCACCAGTTCTTCCATCTGAAAAAAGCAAATATACAAGTTGATTTTACAAGCTCTTATAATCAGAGAAAATGTTTAGTTAATCAATAACATTATGAACAATGAAGTTTTGAATACAGGAATTTCTTAAAAATAAATTCAACTTTCATGAGAACTCACAACATATCAGAAATAGGTCTACTTGTACTCAATGATCTTAGTTCTAAGGAAATAACCACAGGATTCAAGCGCTTATTCTGTTAGTAAGATACATATGTGAAGTACAATACAATAAAACTACAATGTATTAGAAAAGTTTAACCCACTCAATATTTGTACATAAATGAGTGGTCTGAACTTTGTTAACGTGTCCATTTCCATTTAAATGGTTGCTGAAGACCCTTCTAAACAGCTCTTTGCATATAGTCTATGACAAATATTAATTTTAAGTTAATATCACTCCAGGTACATCTGTCCCTCATACCTGGAAGATAAGCCAGAAAGAGCCTTTTTAAAAATTTCTGGAGTGCTGTCTGTTGCTGGGACAACTTCAGGAACTTCTGAATCATTTCTGAGGTCCAGTTCTCCAAATTTTTCATTTTCATCTTCATCTATATCCTAAAATACAAAGTTCAAGACGGAAACACAATATTTAGCAATTTAAGCACAAAAACATACCAGAATTTTAATTAAAACAACCAAATAAAACTGCAAGTATACACTAACATAGCTGCTTTACTCAAAAAAACCCCAGAAAGGATGCAGTTAGATATCCAAACTATTTAAACTAAGATATGTAATGCTGTTTTGTTTTTGTTTTTTTTATCATTTGGAGACCGACTATAGCAGTTTCAGTATAAAACCTTAACTGGTCATTTTTATTATTATTATTTTTTTTTATTCTGGCTGTTCACCGCCCTGAGTCCTGCTGGAGAAGGGCGGTATACAAATTAAAACAAATAAACAAATAAATAGAATTAGGCTTTCTGGAACCTGGGATTTTGTATATACAGTACATCCTTGACCCCATTAACATATAGTTGTGAGATTTACTATGGGAATCAGTAAGGTAACACATTAGACACAGTAATAGCCTGTGCTATTTTAATACTGTTAAGAATAAAAAGAATATCTTGTTGGACAACTTTAAAAATTCTCTCAAAGCATGTTTTTAAGGCTTCACACATCTGTTCTTATTTCTAAATACATAAATACTTCTTTCAATAAGGCAGCTAAAAGAAGTTAATAAAAGTGAATATTAGGTTGCTACTGTGGCATGTCCAAATGTTCTAACAAGCAACCATTCCTCTTTTATTTATTTCTTCATTCAGTGATTTTTCTAAGATGTATCATTCCCAATGGATTGTGGGCAATGAAAAACATAACAGTAATATAGTTAAAACAAATAACTAAAATAGTAAAATCCTATTGAAAAGTACCAAACCAAATCAAAAGGCAACATTATTATTATTATTTATTAGATTTCTATACCGCCCTACTCCCGAAGGACATGGCCCTTTTGTTCAGCTTGAGCCAATGGCATAATACAATAAAACTGTTTAACTTGTTTACTCTGTAAATGTGTTCCTAAATTACCATGTTAGAAACAAAATGTTCACATTTAAAATTATCATACATATCAAAACTGAACATACATCTCAGGTACAGTTTTAATCAACAACCCCCCAAAAAAACCTTTGAAAATAAATTGGCATGTTTGTAAAATCAACTCTATTAATTTCTTCAAAAATAGCTTGAGCTATATTTGCAAGCAAAGAATAAGTCACATGGTTTATCAATAAACTAATAATGGTGTTTTAAGTACTGAGATTGTTACCCTGAAATTCCAGAAGATTTCCTTAAATTGAAGGAAAATAAAGAAATTTATATTTCATTAATCTGTTGTACTTACGCAAAATATGTAATTTTGAACTGAATTACATGTGTCCTTTTGACATCTGTATACTCCATAAGCCATGGTTTCTAATAAACGTAGCAATATTTACATAATTCCACTCTTATAATGTACTAATCAATCCAGGATCTGTTAGGTCAAAAGTTTAGAGATATTTCCTTACCTAAATATAAAAACAGAATGATCATGGGCAGGCAAAGAGCAGTGGGAACAGGAACAACTTCCAACTTCCTGCCAGCTTCCCACTGACTTTCCTTGTAGGAAGCTGGCAGGGATTGTTGGAAATGAATATTATGTGATTGTGACTGATCGTGGCGGCGCAAAGCACTAAACAGTCACAACTTTGCCAAATTTCAATTTCACATTAGTCATGAGTCCCAGATTTTTGACAAATTCTCTAAATTAGCCCATTTGAGCTATGTTGATTCAGAAATAGTTGTCTTATGATGCATTGTTTCTAATTAATTACAAAAAATCAAACAGACATCAAACAGAATTTTATCGGTATATAGATGTACTAAAGTTTACATCCCGACCCAAATCACACTCTCCCAGTGCTTCTTATCAAAACAAATAAAGTTATTTCTGGATGCACACAGTCCAAATGGTGAATCATCATGCTAAAATGTTTGAATCGGCATACCTCAAATCCCCTAAGTTAAAGAATGAGTACAAAATCTGGAAGTCATTACTTCTGTGTAATTGAAATTTTAAGGATCTTCACACCACTTGTATTTGCAAAGCTGTGACTGCTGTAGCATTGCCATAAGCACATGATCATCACTTCTGGCACTCCCTGCCAGCTTCCTACAAGCAAAATCAGTGGAGAAGCTGGCAGGAATTCAAAATTCAGAAGTTGATCCTGCTCCCATTGGGTTTTTTTTACCCATCCATAGTTATTCTGTTTATTGGTTAGGTAAGGAAATATCTCTGAAAGGATGACCTAACAGGTGGTTGTCTAGTAACTAACTAATGCAATTAGTACTACCGGTATTAATAGCAATTTAGAAATAGTTAAGAGCACAGAATAAATGGAGATGAGAAAATTTAAATGTTGCCCTAGAGCTGCATAGCACTCAAGGAAGCATCATTAGATATGTATCACTGAAAAGAATGTTTGATTAGATGCACTACTGGTTTCCTTGCATGAAATAAAAAGATTAAAATGAACTCATCAGTGTCACTTTCCAGCTAAAGGGGTATTGTTGCGAGCATCTTGGAGGAGACACATTAGGTAACCACAGAAGTGGGTAAAGAAGGATTCTGTACATCCTTTCATTTTTGCTAATTGACATTATGGGAGTAATTCATTCTCTTGATTAGTTGGAGTACCAGTTGCAATAATAGTATTAAACTATAATAACAGAAAACCATGAAATCTTAATAGGTGATATCCATAATTGAATGCAACTAATGTCACATTCATTCTAGCACAAAATAACACATCTGTTCACTGAAGTACAGTGCCTTTCCCCATTACAGGTAATCCTCAATTTAACAATGGTTCATTTAATGACGGAACCTACAACAGCACTGAAAAAAATGACATGACTATTTTTCATATTTACAACCATTATAGCATCCCCATGGTCATGGGTTCAAAATTCAGACACTTGGCAACTGATTCACATTCATGACAGCTGACAGGGATCATGTGATCACCTTTTACAACCTTCTAACAAGCAAAGTCAATGAGGAAATCAGATTCACTTAACAATCATATCATTATCTTAACAACTGTAGTGATTCACTTAATTGTGGCAAGACAGGTCATAAAATGAGGCAAAACTCACTTAACTAATGTCTCATTTAGCAAAAGAAATGTTGGGCTCAATTGTGATCATAAGTCGAGGACTACCTGTGCTGAGTTAGTGTCATTCTCTTACCCTTCAGATGGCAATAAACTATGCCTATATTCTTTCTCCACTGTCAATCCCTAATTCTCTCTGCTCCCTTGCAGCTTAATAGTACTGTCCTGCTTATGCATCTGCAGCATTAACAAAGCTATTAATTTACCTTTCTGACTTTGCTGTCCTTCTTTTGAGCATTCCCAGACAGAGGAAAATATCTCCCAATCACGACATTAATGGAGTGGGATGGGATTTGGCATCTGAAGTTTGGTATCTCTTAGCTTCTGAATCCTTTCTCTTGACTAATAAAAGCTAAACACTGAGAAGGTGGCTGGGATTATCACGGAAACTGAATCACATAAGCACAATCATAATCCTATGCATATGCAAAGCACAAAAATCTTCTAGTTCCAAGATCAAGCAGGACTATTTTATTATCATTTCAATGTAGTACAATTTTAACATTGTCCAAAGCTTGTACCCCTCTGGAACCATGCCTGAGTGCAAAATAAGACAGGAGACGATGGTTATATATTTATGCATATGTTTGCATTATAGACCAATGGCCTGACTAAACAAAAGGGGTTTTACAGAAGTAAAAAAACTTTCATCTCTGCTTTTTTTCTATCTCCTCTATACTGAAAATACAAAGAATGGCACAAAAGTAGTTAACAGAGGACAAAAAGAAATGAGAAGATAAACAGATCAGTCTCAAACTACCAAGATTTATCCAACAGACCTCAGCTGCGAGAGACACTTGAATTTGTCACCAACTAAATGGATTGAAAAGTGCATCAGATGTATACAATTTGCAAATGTCACTGGTCACTGTCAGTTTAAGGGGGAAAACATTATTTTACTATAAGTTAAGACAATTTAAGCCTGTCTGACTCCTGGGTTGAGGAAGATATAAAGGAAAATTACAAAAAAGACATTGCCAAGGTACTACAATTAGATGCAAGTATGGAAAGTCCTTGTATATATATTATCTCAAACAGAAGTATCCTAACATCTCAAATATCTTCACTCCGCAAATCAGCACCACAATTCAAACTAAAAGGTCATTCATAAAGGTTGGGGGAACTTTTAAGAGATGATGTAACAGGAAGAAGAAATGTAAAGGGCTCTATAGATCTTACCTAATTCACAGTAGATGGAAAACTTAAATAAAACATAGCTTATTTATCTAGACCACGCTAGACCAATGAACAATGAAAGTTCATTGATGGAACTGATTTTAAAATAAACATAGCAATTCTGGATTCATCAATATAATCCTTCCTATAGTTTTACATGCTTTGTAATATAATACAATTGTAATGATCATGCATTCAGAAAGTTTTCAATCAGTATGGGCTACTTGCTCTAACATATGCCGGTGAAAAATAGACACTCACGATCAATACAAAAGCTAAGGGTGGTGCAAAGAGCCATGGAAAGTTCCATGCTTGGTATTACAAAACAAGATAGAAAGACCTGCACATGGACTAGAGAACAAACGAAAGTATACAATATCATCAAGAGAGTAAAAGAATTGAAGTGGAAATGGGCTGGTCGCATAGCAAGAAGAACTGATGGCAGGTGGTCTAAGGCAGTCGTAGAATGGATCCCACTTGATAAAAGTGTCCATGAAAGAGACCTAAAACAAGATGGATCGATGACATCAGCAAGTATTGCTGGCCCAACTGGCAAAAGAAAGCTCAGGACCATATTGGTTGGAAACATATGGAAGAGGCCTTCTTCCTGCAGTGGATAGACAATGGCTAAAATGATGATGATCATGCAACCATTATCATTTACACCAACAAGTCTATTTCAGAAACTCAATGACACTTTGGAAGCTTGTTATCACC